AGGGACTGTCTGAAATACTATGTGACAATCAAGCTGCAATCATCCTCACCAAGGAGGCTTAGTATCAATCTTAAACTAAAGACATTCAGAGGAAATACCATTATCTTGAAGATGACCTTGTTGGAAAGGATCAAGCAATTGTACAATATGTACCCACAGAAGACATGGTAGTGGACATTTTCACAAAGGCACTGACTGACCCATGAAAACATTGGAAGTTTACCAAGGTCATGGGACTATGCCTGTACATAAGTGGGAGTGTCAAGGAGAGAGATTAGCAGCAAGTGCTCCAGTGTGTGCTCATCACATGTACACAGCTATGCTTCACCTTATATATGTTCTCTCTAATATGTCACACCTCAGTTTGTTTTATCTTCTACAAAATGCAACTGAGTTATGACTTTATATTACATCTACATTCTTGACTATACTTTTTTTATGCTTGTCCTAGATGTGTGATTGCTATTTTAGGTATTTAAGATAGCTTGTTCTCCTACAAAGTGAAACTAAGATGTGTGATTGCTATTCTAGCTCCCTAGCTTCACTTCACTTTACTTGACATTCCTTGAAACATACTGCTAGAATACTATTACAAGTACATTCTTCAGTATTCATTAGATTGTTGGTGGTTGATAAATGCCCTCAGACATCAAAGAGGACTTGTCACTTTTTGTGTAAGACATACTTGTGCACTGTGAATATATTGCTGGTATTATCAATGGTGTTGAGTATGTGTATGTAGTGCACAATGTACTTGATGTCTCAAAATTGTGTGTGTGCAAGTAAAGATCATCAAGCATTAATGCATGCATGATGGGCTTGTACCTATATAATCAGAAAGCATCAGTTTGACAAATTTATTGGAAGTGATAAAAGAGATGGTAAACAATAGATGTGAACCAATGCATTTGATCTCTGAAACATACAACCATAAGGTACCCACTGACCATGTATAACTTGTGAGTTTCAAGTCATTGGGATAAAAAAAGTTCTAACTGTCAAAGAAAAATAATGACATGCAGGGCCTGACCGGGAATTGAACCCGGGACCTCCTCGATATGGCACCAAAGGAACCCTAACAAGGAATCATACTACTAGACCATCAGGCCATGTGATTGGAATGGAACGTCGGCATGCTGGATGCGCTGCATCTCCGGGGAAACCTTAACAAAGACTCCACGATCAGTGTATAACAAAGTTCACCCATACCCAAGTATGACCTGAACATCATCGGCTGGTTCACTATCGATGCAGACACTCCCAATGTGGTAGAACCCAGCAAAAGAAAGGGGGAAACAAACAACAGAGGTATCCAAACCACACAATTATCAAAACATCACAATTCACACTTCCTTCATCAAAAACAAGACCATCACTTGCATACGTGAGTGAGGTACTCGCCTTTTCAGTTAAATATAACAGACATCGATCGATTGAGCTCGAAATGTTTTTGTTTTTTGCGTTGGCACAAAAAACATCTCGTCAGTGCTTGGGACGGGCCTGACCGGGAATTGAACCCGGGACCTCCTCGAGATGGTACCAAAGGAACCCTAACAAGGAATCATACTACTAGACCATCAGGCCTGACATTAAGTAATCGATCCTATCATCCATTGGGTGGAACAGACGGCGTGTGGTATTAATTATAACGTCTACTGACAGTTTCCACGTTCACGTCGCTTTGTACGTCGTGGCCATTGTGTACTGGGAATATAGACATTGTACTGTGTATCCAAGCATCGTGGAAGTAAAGCTTGTGCGGAGAACAAGGGCCGTCAAGTAAACAATGTATGAATCGGGCCGTGCAAGGGTCCTGGGTTTTGATGGGTATTGTACTTGGGCTGGAACAAGAATCATGGAAGCACAATGGACAGGGGCAGAGAAGCTCGGTGGGTATGGCGTTGGGAACAATTGTTGGGAAGACAGTGCACAAACAGTGCCTATTGTTCGAGCAGTTTATAAAGGCGCAATGAGTCGACACGTCTCAGCTGAGCTAGTCTCGCGTTGTCTTCTCATTAAAAGCGCTCCTTTGTCCGTTCTCATCGACAAATGCAGCCTGCAATTGCGCCTTGCTATTCTTTCCTCTCCAAGCCCCCTCAGAAAACCCGCCCGCTGTGCGCGCCACCGCCGCCGCCGACGTTCGCCCGCAAGCGCTCGTCCACGTTCAGCGCAATCGCTGCCTGGGCCGCACACGTCCAGCCCGGCTCCCCCAGCTCCCCGTCCACCCGCCCGTCCCCGTCCTTCCTCGTCCTCGAGACGCCCTCGCCTGCCCACAAGGACTTTGCGCTTGCCCTCACCGATCTGGGCTACACATCCGTCTTTGTCAATCTCAGCACGCCCTCGCCTGTCGCCCCCGCCACGCGCCCTTCGCCTCTCAAGCGCTTCCGCTCCTTCTCCATCCTCCGCTCTCCCACAGTCCCCAGCCCCGACCCTCGCAAAAAGGCCGGACCCAAACCAAAACCGCCTTCCCTCGCATCTGAGCTCGCGCTCATGCAGTTTGCCGGCGGCGGATCTACAGAGCATAATATCAAGCGTGTCATGGCCGCCCGCGCACGCGCCGCTGCACCCGCCGGCACAAAGCCTGCTGCCGTAGGCGACGTGTACCGCGATGGCAAGGGCGGCGTGTGGTGGGACCGCGAGGAAGAGATGGAGTACGTCCATCTACTCTCCGGACACCAGATCGCAGCACACGACGACAAGTGGGTTGAGTTTGGGGGAGAGGAGGAGGAGACGGGACTGGCGCTCGCGAGTCTTGCGACGGATGGGAGGCGCGGGAGTGGGCAGTCGTTGGATGTAGGCTGTGTTGTCAGACCTGTGGAGGAGGATACGAAGATCGTCACGGTGCCGGTTACTCATCCAACGCAAGAACCGATACTGACAATCCCGTCGCGCCCCCGACGCGGCCAACACCACCTCCGCCCATCGCCCAACTTTTTCCTGCTCGACCTCAATGCGTTTTCAGTCCCGCGTACTCCACGTAGCCCCTCCGCCTTCCCTGTCTCTCCACCCGTGCCCTCCCACGCGCAGCCTCACGCTGACACCCACACTCAAAGCCAACGAAAAAGAGGCGCAGCCCGCCGCCGTCCGGCGCCACTCGACATCGTCGCGCATGTCCCCGTGCGCGGTGTATCGCCTGACCATGGAAATGACAACGAGGACGAGGATGTAAAAAGGGATTTCTTGGATGCGTCGTTTACGCCTGTGCCCAGGCCCGAGGCTGGGGCTGGGGCTGCGACTGCTGCGTGCAGTAAAAACGAAAACGAAAACGAAAACGAAAAACAAAAGGCGGGTGCACAGATCGTGAATGCAGAGACCTACCGCGCTCCTACGCACCCGAACGGGAATAGACAATCTGAAGGCGGCGCCAAGTCGCTGAAGAAGAAGAAATCTAGACAGCTATTGAGCTTTTTTGGGATGAAGTGATCGATCAAGGACGCTATATTATAATCGCAATGTTTTCTGGGGGGAAATGGAATGGACCTGGTGTCTCTATCCTCCCCTCGCTGTCTATGCTCTCCGATGTTTTCGGTATCTGGTACCCCGCTGTGTTGATGAAATCTTTATGTAGATGTGTATACCCCCTTACCTGCACTTAGTCTCTCTCGAATCCTTACGGTCATGTTCACGCTTTACGCCCTACGTACGACCATAGATATCGATGCTTCGGACTCTTTGTATTTTTAGAATGTATCCACTACTGCTACACGTACCACGTAAACAATCTACCTAGTCTTCACTTCCCATCCTCAATCCTCGCAATTCTGAGATTCCGTTCTCCGAGAGGCGGCGAGTCGAGATGGCCAGGGTTATTAATCCTACCACCGGCCTGATGGTCTAGTAGTATGATTCCTTGTTAGGGTTCCTTTGGTGCCATATCGAGGAGGTCCCGGGTTCAATTCCCGGTCAGGCCCATCCCAAGATGTGATCAGATGTTTTTGGTGCCTACGCAAAAAAAGAACATTTCGAGCTCAACCAATACTTACCTGTTTGTTATATTTAACTGATACGGCAGATGACTCATTCATGTATGCAAGTGATGGGTCTAGTTTGTGGTTTGGATAACTCTGAAGAAGGGTTTTTAAGCTTTAAACTACTTTCTTTTGCTGAGTTGTGCCACAAGTTGTGAGGAGTTTGCATGGATAGCTACTAGCCAGTGATGTTCATTCCATACTTGTTTATAGCTTGGTGAAGAGATTTATGATATTCATCCTCAGACTCCCCACGAACTTTGTTGTCGTCAAGGTTCCCCGGAAACGCAGCGAATCGAGAGTGCCGACGTTTAATAACAACTCTGTGGCCTGATGGTCTAGTAGTATGATTCCTTGTTAGGGTTCTTTCGACACTATATCGAGGAGGTCCCGGGTTCAATTCCCGGTCAGGCCCTTATGACTTGTATTTTGCAATGCTGAAGTACTTTTTCTGCCGCTGTAAATTGCCTAACTCAATCACATCAGATCTATAAATGAAAGGAAACATACAAGTGATCCTTTTGTTTTTGATGAAGTGTGCTGGTATGTGGATAGATGCATGGCTGGGAACGGATGGGATGAGGATAAATGCTCAGCTCAGGCTCAGGCTCTGAGGAAGTTGGTTTTTAGGCTTTGGATTTTTCGTATGGATAGCAAGCCATAAGTTCATACTAATATTTGAAGAGATACTTACAATATCCCTCCTCAGGTTGCATGTGGAAGTGGTGATATAGGCCTTAGTCTAGCAGTATGATTCCTTGTTAGAGTCTTCATCAATCAAATGAACCATTTTGGTCCCAGGAATTCCTAGTCATGCCCTCAAGACCAAATCTGTAGAGGTTTTAAGTTTCACAAGTTTTTGTCCTTTTTCTGCCCACTGCAATATGCCTTGTTCAATCATATGCTGTTAAATAATGATGGTTTGTTTCTGATGAAGTGTGCTGGAATGTTGATGCTATCCTGATGCAACCAATCTAGTGAAGAAATATGTATGATATCCATCCTCAAACTTCCCATGAACTTTGGTGTATAGGCCTGATGGTCTAGTAGTATGATTCCTTGTTAGGGTTCTTTCGATACCATCTCGAGGAGGTCCCGGGTTCAATTCCCGGTCAGGCCCTGCAGAACATTTTGCTCCTTCGCGCCACAGTTCTCAACGCCCCAGTTCTCAGGTTCTCATTGCAGCTAACGTCATCATAACTAAGCATCTCTTCGCTTCGATCATTCCTTGCCAATACACGTGGTGTTCCAATTTTGGCGTCGGCCTCGTCGTTTCGATACACCTCTGCTTGTTGAGTGTGTAGTGCTTGCCTTTGGAGACAATGAACTATTGGCCCTATTGTTCTTGTTAGGAAATACTGGCATCCATATCGAGCTCAAGAAAGTCCCGCAGTGGCGGGAAGGCTGTCTCCTAGGCCGTAACACATTCGCAGCTATCAATGTTGTTCAAACAAGACCATGACATCCTAGTGGTCTTCTGTTTTTCTCATTTTGCTGGATTTTTTACTATGGATGGTCGATGGGGTTTACTACGGTTACAGGACGATTGTATGGTGTACATCCTATTGCATGGACAATACGTGCCAAGGAAGAAATGGATATACTATATATGGAGAATGGACTCTACAACGAAGAGGCCAGTTGATTGGGATGCCTTGGTGAGTTTGGAATTCTGTAACACCAATCCATCTTCATGTCGTTCCGACATTGTTCTACTATCCCATGCGGGTTATACATATGACCTCGATACTCGAATCATCGCCAATCCGGGAAAATTTGGACCCATAACTCCTCTAGCGACACGAATAGCACAATTCTATGCTGTCGGAAGCGTGCAAACATTCATCGATTATTCAACCTTCTCCATCATCCACCTGTTCAAGATTCAATGTTCCACGCTCAACGTGCCTGATTCTTTTTCTGGTTTGAATCCATCGATGTCGGCGTTGATGTATGGCATCCATATATCTCGGGGTTTTTCGGCCCACATTCTAAAGCCTAACCTGCTTTTCCCCTCATGACTGTCATACAAGCTCAGAACACGAACAGTGGTCTCTCAGAGACTCATAACGATCATAATGAACGCCATTATCATGAACTCACAGCACCGACACCAGCAAAGCGTACCCCACTCCCAAAATTCCAGCTATTCATAGTGGCAATGCTCCAGTTTTCAGACCCGATAACCGCGACTGTTATATACCCATTCATCAACAAGTTTGTACGCGACACGGGCGTTATACAGGGCGACGAGCGTAAAACGGGGTTCTACGCAGGCATCATCGTGAGTCGTACTTGTACCCTCACGCGTCATGCAAGTTTCTGATTGACGTGCACCCGAAATGGTGACAGGAATCCATGTTTTTCGCCGCAGAAGCGCTCACGGTCGTGTACTGGGGGCGTGCATCTGACTACTTTGGGCGTCGGCCGATTTTGTTGATCGGGCCCGTAGGATTGGCGTTGTCGATGGTGGGATTCGGCTTGTCCACGAATTACTGGAGTCTGGTCGTGTTTAGGTGTATGCAAGGCACTTTCAATGGGAATATTGGTATGTTGTTCATATCATACTACGCCTTGGATTTGTGTATTTAATCAGGATCTCAGGGGTTTCCAAAGTTGTTGTAGCAGAGGTGCATGGATTGATATGTAGTGGAACGGATTTCTGACATTCTAACCTTCCTTACTAAGATCACCGATTCGACAAATGTTGCGCACGCTTATGCTGTGTTGCCAATCGTGTGGACTAGTGGTTCCGCCCTTGGGTACGTTTTTTCGCGCGGTTTTCGGCGTCTGATTTTCACCAATGTGATTCGTAGACCCATCATCGGTGGATTGCTCTCACAGCCTGCAAAAAGATGGCCGAACTTGTTCCAAAAGTTTATCTTCTTCCATCAGTTTCCATATTACCTTCCATGTGTGGTATCGGCACTTATTGCCTTGGTCTCTTCACTTTTCGGATTCATAGGACTCAAAGAGGCAGGTTCTACATTCTCACTGCGTAAAGCGTCTAATGATGTTTTCTTCAGACGTTACCGTCAGCCGTTCTCCGGAAAAAGAAAAGGATAGTAGGGAAGGAGCAACGCGCGACGCCTGATTGCACAACTAGCCTGCTATCTGGAAATAACGAGCAGGGCTACTACTCCACCACTTCTACCACCTCTACTATAGAAACCGCGGAGCCAGAGGATGATCTCAAAGATCTCGTTCCACCACCACTCCTGTCCCTCCTCACTCCCCCAGTACAGCTGACTCTCCTCATTCACGGGTTCATGTCATTCAGCGAGATGAGTCTCCAAGTCCTCCAACCGCTTATCTATTCTACCTCGATCTCTTTGGGCGGCCTTGGCTTCGACCCAAAGCGCATTGGCCTAATCATGGGCACTTGGGGAGTTGTCAACATCTTTTTCACGCTGACCTGCGTCCCAATGCTCCTTCAAAAGTTCGGCGCGCGCAAAATACAGATCTTGACTCATTCGAGCTTTGCCTCTACGCTTGCTCTGTACCCCATTCTGAGTTACCTTGTGCGAAGAGCCGGTGGCGCAGATGCCCTAGTTTGGGCGGTCATGATCATTCAGCTAACTTTTGCCCTAATCACCAGTGCCTCGTATGGTAAGTCACCCGACTACTCTACTGAACAATATCGATGATCAATGGTGGTGCAGCATCGATATACGTATTATATCTCCAAGGTATTTCAAATCGGGCCTCTCTTGGAGCTATCAACGGGATGGCGCACGCTGTGGGTTGCATCACACGAGCCATTGCGCCCACTGTGGCATCTTCACTATTCTCCATATCTCTCAAGAGACATCTTGCTGGCGGTAACATGGTCTTCCTGATCCTGCTTGGGATAAGTGTGATCGGTCTTCGTTTGACCTTCCTACTACCCAAAAGGCCCATCGCGGATTGAGACAGCATAGGAAAATATAATCACCAATGGTGCTGTAGCAGATCTATATATCAGGTTAGAAATCGACTCTCCAATACATAAATAACGACAAGGCAGTACAATAACCATCAAAGTCAAAGAAATCAATGATCGTTCTAAGATGAAGGATTCAGCGGCAAATCGACAATCCCTATTGGTAAGCGCGCCTTCAAGGAGGATGTTGATATTACAATATTGAAGCATTTCATGGAAGCTTGCATTTAATGTTGCCAGAATTCAACTTCATGCAGCCAGAGAGCTTGTTATTTACTAAGTAGAATTTCTCACCTCACAGACATCAGAGAAATAGACTTCTAGTTAGTTGCATATATTGGAAAGGTAGGATTTCACTGATCTTGGTCAGATATGGTGACAGATATAAACAATATAGAATGACAAAAAGTCTGATGTTGGCCTGATTTCCATGTCATGTAAATGACAAAGTTTCAGTAACTGTTGAGGGCTGATCCATAAGAAAGATAGGTTCTCATACCAATAGAGGCACTGAGAGCAAGAGACTGTCCTCTAATGAGTCTCTCATGGGTTGCCTGGACCTGACAGCTAGAAATCCATCTCAGTCAGTCAGGCATTAATCTTGATGATGAAGTCAGCATCTGATTCATCCCATGCCAAAGATTCAAGTATGCATACCCTGTTTGAGCTTTCAATACATGCTGCTTCCCATGACAAGTCTGAGTGAATTGCCTTATTGCACTAAATATACATCGGGAGGAAGTCACTAACTGCATTAATCTTAGCATAAATATAGATAAGCAAGGCACAAGCAGGGGAAACATGTTCAGTCCTCAATTCACCTGACCCACAAAACACTGCCATGCTTAGCTGGTGTAATATTTTGATTTGCCTCTGTATGCTTCAACAAACCTCCTGATCTCATCCAATCAATGCCATGCCTGTTTGGTGAAATATGTCAATTTCCCTCTAGGTGTTTCAGCAAACCTCCTCATCTCATCAACCAGCTCTTGCTTTGCATCATTAAGTAGTCATGGTCATAGCATTCAGGTCAACCAAAATACCAAAGGAAATCCATGTAGTTGCTTCTTTGCTTATGGGGAATATCCAGCTCTCACAGGGAAAGCAATTTGTGTTGATTGGCAGGTTCATAAAGCAGTGCATTTACCTGGTCTTCAACCCTCAGTATTTCCCAGTGTTTCTCTTTCAACTGGCACAACTTTACTCCTTTGTGCTTTGCACTGCTGAGCTTGTGCTTTCTTTTTAATTTTGTTAAACAAGGTAACTCCTAATGGTGTCATGTCAAATTTCAGTGGGGAGTCAGGACTTGTTAGCTGTATTGATAATGGCAGTAACAGTCATAGGCTTTGGTTTCTATCCTTGTCTGAATGCATCAACATGATCTTTAAACTCTTGAATGATTGTGTACTCAGCCCCAGACAAAATAATAAGGGTTGAGTCTGAGGAAACTGGTACTTCTCTTCCAACTCCAGATTGTTCACTGCATACATGCTGAAACATAGATTGGGTACCTAATCCAGTCATCTGACAAGGTCCAGGTAACAGTGGGGTTGAGGATTCACCATGTAAACTCATTGATTTCCCAATAGGAAGTAGACTTATGTGGCTTAACCAATGAACTCATTCAAATATATAGAATGAAAGTAGTCTGAAGTTACTCTGTACTAGTGAAGAAAACCTCAAGGAAATTTTCTCTGACAGTCAAAATACTTACCTAGAGAAGGATCATCAAAGTGGAAGTTTCCTACTGAAACCCAAGGGGGGTGCAAAAATAATATCAGGTTGAACTTTTTTCTGAGGACTACTCAGATCTACCTATCTGCTGACTAATATTTCCAAAAAGGGTAATCAGATCACTGGCCATCTCCAAACTAGAGTCATCTCATGATACCTTATGAGCTATGCCCCATGCCTTCGGCATGGGCCTGTAGCTCTTGCTTCATCCCAGACCCAACTGAACGAAGTGAGGTTGGGTCCTCAATATTCTACTCAATGCTTTATTCCAGACCCAACCTCACTTCATTTGGTTAGGTCCTTGTATTTCAAACTTAATGCTAAGTCCCAGACCCAACCTCACTTTGTTCAGTTAGGTCTTTGTATTTCTAACTCAGTGCTTCATCCCAGACCCAATCTCACTTTGTTTGGTTAGGTCCTTGTATTTCAAACTCAGTGCTTCATCCCAGACCCAACCTCACTTT